TCCAGGCCACCTTCCTGAAGCTGGCTGGCCCCCAGCTGGTGCAGATGTTCATTGGGGATGGTGCCAAACTGGTCCGGGACGCCTTTGCCCTGGCCAAGGAGAAGGCTCCGTCCATCATCTTCATTGATGAGCTGGATGCCATTGGCACCAAGCGGTAAGGGGGTGCTGAGTGCCATCGAGGGGGTTGTTCTAAATTCCACCTCTCCCACCCTGGTCCCTTCTCCCACTGGGATGGTGGCAGCTCTATTCTTGTGGTTCTACTTCTTAAATTATCTTCGAATTAGCTCCCTGCTTCATTTCTTTTTCCTGACCATCCATTTTCCTTACAACTGCCAAAATGTTCCCTTTAAAACTTTACTCACCTGCCCCCATAGTCCCTCAAACAGATCCTGCTTTCCCCTCCTGGGCCTCCCCATAGCTCTTTGGGATAGATACTGGGCTTGCCGTGGCCTACAGGCCCCCATGTGTCTGTCCTGTTTCCCTCCAGCTTCATCCTATCCCTGCCCTAACCTCCCCCCTCCCTCTGGGCTCCCTCCACAGCATCCCCTCAGTTTGCAGGCCCACTCTGGTGGGAGGGATTTTGCAACTGCTGTTTCTTCTCTGTAATGTGCTTTTCCTTTTCCTCTGTTCTCCATTGGTTGGTTGCCCAGCTGATGTGTTTTCAGCCTTCAGACTTCAGCTTGAGGGACACCTCCTCAGGGACATCTGCTTGAGCTCCCCCTTACGTGCCAAGTCTGGGCCAGATCTCTGTATTTCTAAGCTTTAGCTCAGTTTGTACGGCAGGTTCCTCAGGGGGGATAGGCCAGGCACTATCAGGGTTTTGCTCACGGTTTTATCCTCAGCCCGCCACCTGATCCCCGGAGTCTCTCCAGTCTGACACCATTTCTGTGCTAGACCCTGGGCTGGGGGTCCCAGGCTGAGTGAGCCTTTTCCCTGCTCTACATGGATTGGGTTGGGTTGGGCTTCTAGTAGTGGAGGGAGGGCTCTTCCCGAGCCATGGCCTCACCAGTGTCTCGGGCCTCCTGTGTGCCCCAGCTTTGACAGTGAGAAGGCTGGTGACCGAGAGGTGCAGAGGACGATGCTGGAGCTTCTGAACCAGCTGGATGGGTTCCAGCCCAACACTCAAGTAAAGGTGAGTATTGCCATCACATCACAGATGAAGAACACAGGGCTTAGAGGTTGAGGGTTCTTCTCTGTCATCTAGCTGGTGTGGCTGGACTTGGAATTGGGTTCTGTCTTGAATCTCCCCTGCCATTTGACCTGGCCTCTAGGCTGCCTCTTTGCCTGTCATGGCCATGACTGTTGCCTGTCTGTGAACCCCTCCTCTTCAGTTCATGTGGCTGCTTCTCCCCTTGCTCAGGTAATTGCAGCCACTAACAGGGTGGACATTCTGGACCCTGCCCTGCTCCGCTCAGGCCGCCTGGACCGCAAGATCGAGTTTCCGATGCCCAATGAGGAGGCCCGGGCCAGAATCATGCAGATCCACTCCCGGAAGATGAATGTCAGGTGGGCAAGGACACGGGCGAGGCATTGAGACCTGCAGGCGCAGCAGCAGAGCCGCCTCTGTCCTCCTTGTGCTGAGCTTCTCCAGGCCTCCGCCTTCCACGTCTCATTCACAGCGCAGTTCCATGCGCCGGCGTCCATTTCTCCCCAGGTGCCTGACATAGCACCTTGCTGGGGCCCAGGCTATAATTCTAGGTGCTCTGCTCCTTAGAGTCCACCTGCTCACCTCCCCCCCGACACATACACACATACCCTCCTCTATGATTATAGGCGTGCAGGCTGGAGGCCCTCAAGTGTCCTGGCCTCCCCTGCCCCAGCAGATGAGCACAGCCCAACATGGCCCAGGGGAATCCTGCCAGGGGCCAGATGGACCTGGGTTCAGATCTATGTGACTGTCAGCAGGTGGTTTTCTTTTCTGGGACTTGGGGATAAGGGCTCCAACCTCATGGGGTTGTGGCAACATCAAGTGCGATGCTTGGCACGAGATCAGTAAGTGGCAGCAGCAGCGCTGTGCTGATGCAGGGCCTGTGCTGCTTGGGAGCCGGACAGGGGGCTGTCTTGTCTCCACAACCTCCTGCTCCCCCACCTCAGGCTGAATCCATCCCTGGAGTCTCAGGTGCAGATTTCTAGCAGGCTGGAATTCAAGAGACACTAGAAATAACCTGGTCTAACCTGCTTTGACCTACCTCCCTTCCTCTCCCCATCTCATCCAGAGAAGAGAACAAGGCACAGTGGGGAAGGGACTTGCCTTTGATCACAGCAGGCTGACCTTGCTGCTTGATGGGGGCATGTGGGAAGAAATCTGCTCCTCCCACCCCCTCCCCATAAATAACTGAATCCTGCATGGTCTCCCCACTTCTCAGTCCTGATGTGAACTATGAGGAGCTGGCCCGCTGTACGGACGACTTCAACGGGGCCCAGTGCAAGGCCGTGTGTGTGGAGGCGGTGAGTGGTGGGCTGAGGTGGGTAGGTGGGTGTTTTCATGCCCCCTTCCCTGGATAGGATGAGGGCATCTGGCTGGTGGAGGATGCTGAGAGGAAGAGGCTGAGAAGGCAGAGGCCTCTGGGAGCCAGGCCGGGGTTGCAGGGAGGCACCCTAGAGCCTGTCTGTCCTGGGTGCAGGGCATGATCGCACTGCGAAGGGGCGCCACAGAGCTCACCCACGAGGACTACATGGAGGGCATCCTGGAGGTACAGGCCAAGAAGAAAGCCAACCTGCAGTACTACGCCTAGGAGGCCGCCCGCCACACCTGCTCCCTGGTTTCCTGCTGGTTAAAATTCGTAATAAAGGATGGTTTCGGGTTCCTGCCACAGTCTGTCCCGCCTTCCCTGGGCTCTGGGTAGGAGAGTGGGGACATATGCAGGAGGCTCCTTCCCCAAGTGGTGCTGCCTGGAAACCAGAGACATCCATGGACCTCAAACCAGTTGTCAGGGTGAGGCCTTCTGGGAGGGATGGGTGTCTGCTACAGCTGCTTCCCGGGGTCTGCTGGCCTCCCCCACCATGTCCCTCCAGACCCCTCTCTCTCCAAACTCCCTGCCCCACCTCTCTGAGCTTTTGAGGCCCATGGCTCCGCTGCTCTTGAATGAGGGGCCTAAAAGAAGCCACATTAGTCTTTCCCTTCTTTTTGAATCTTGGTTCTCTGGCTCTTGGCCTAACTTCCTTATAAAGCCAGGCTCTGGGTCTTTGCTCCCTTGTTTCCTGGCCCCCAAGCCTCCTGTTTCTCTGCACATCGCTTTTAGCACTGAGGGCCCGTTTCCTCTGGCTGAAAAGTGAAACCTTGAGCAAGATCCACTCTGAGAGCCCTTCTAGGCCTCACCACTGGTCATACTGTGTTCTCCACCCCACCCCTCCATTCTGCCATCAGCGCCCCTCCCTGTTGGGCCCCATATCCTGTCAGTTTCCTTTAGGATCTTGCCAGTCTTCTGTCTACCAGCCTTCCAGCTCCCCCACCTGGGACCTGACCTAGTGTGGTTCACCGTTCATGGAGGGCTCACCCTGGGCCACATGCTATGTGGGTCTTGAGCATAATTTTATCTAGTTAATCTCAATAACCGCCAGTAGGCTGGCCTCCATTTATAGATGCATTTGAGCAACTGGGCCGAGACTGCATAACTCTTAGGTGGCATAGCTAGGATTCAGACCCAGGACTGCAAATAAAATCTAGTTGTGCTGTCTTCAGTAGCTGTGACCGCCCCTTGAATGGCCTTTCAAAGCAGCAGCCCTTCAGAACTCTCCGTCAGTTCTCACTTTCCCTCCAGCAAAAGCACTTTACTGTCCTCTTCCTGTCACCTCCCCCGAGAGGACATGCCCAGTCACAGAACCACTGGCTGCCGTCTGGAGTTCCCCTCCTTCTGGTCCCACTGCCTCCAGGCTAGCCTTCTAAGCTGCCATCCTGAGTGTCCAGGTGCACCCCCATTGTGTGCTCCTTGGTGATCCCACTGACTCCCTCCACCCTGGGAACCCCAGCACGGCCTCTGAAGTGTGCTGGTTCTGTCCCTGTCCTGGGCTCAGCTTCCCCAACTCCAGCATCCACCCCCACCCCCGTCCCTTGCCCCGGCCAGGGCACCCGAGTGAATGCAGCCACCACCTTCAGCCCCTACCTTGGTGTCATCATCTGTAAGTGGGACTCCACTGCCTCCCTCAGCGGGCTGCGTGCGAAGACTGCACGTGTATCTGCCACCCAGCAGGGACGTGACAGGCTAGGCGCTCCAGTGCCTGCCGATGGGAGGGTGGGGGCTGGCGGGACAGCCCTGGGTTCCTTCCTTGCTTCTTGGTCCTTAGTATGTCACAACTGGGTGAAGCAGGTCCCTTTAGCTGAGGATGCTGAGTCAGAGCCGGGCACTCCCAGCTGAGGGTGCAGCCAGTTTGGGTTTCACAGCCCGTGCCAGCCTCTGATGTGGGGCAGCCATGCTCTCCACCAGCAGCTTGCTGAAGGTAGAGGAAAACCCCGGACTGCACTGTTCTCCCAGTGGCACTGGGGAGGCAGCTCCCCCCAGTGCCTGATGCTGGCTTTACACTCAGCATATTCATTGGAAGTGAGGGTATGATTTAGAATTAAGGTCTCATTTTTCGTTTTTTCTTTTTAATGAAAAACAACTTAATTTCATGGAGGCCAGACCTGGAAATGACTGTGGATGGAGCTCCCTTTGTGGTTAGGTTACTTGGGACACGCCGGGAAAAAGCCCTGGGTCCGAAGGTCTATAAAATGAGGACACCACCCTTGGGGGTGACATGGGCTTTAATGGCCTGTAGCCAGGCTTGTATTATTGGGATAAAAAGCTAACAAAACAAGCCAGGGGAACAGGAAATGTTATCCCTGTTCTGAGAAACACCCCAAAAATTCAGAGACAAAACAGAAGGGCTGGGAAGGGGATGGCGGCGGAGGCGGCTGGGCGGCCTGCAGGAGCTGGGCCCGCAGAGCAGCCAAGCTGGCTGGAGTTCGGGGCGCCGGGAGAAGCCCTGCTTGACCATGGGCTCTCTTGCACAGAACAGAGGCAGCCAGTTTGTGTATATTTATTTGTATCTCATCTATAGAACAGGTATTTACAGATAGAAACGGAACCACAGCAGAACTGCTGTAAAAACCATTCAGACCCTCTCGATGGCTACTTCTCCGGACGCCCACGGTCGAGCAGCAGGGCTGGAGCCTGGCTGTGGAGTGGGCCAGCTGAGTACCTGGGCGTCAGCCAAGGGAAATAGCTGGGGATTATGGCTTCAGCATTCTCCCAGAGCACATTCCTGAGTGCTGACAACGTGGAGCCCTCGCCACCCCCAACTAACCCCACCCGAAGTGGGACAGGAAAAGGGGCCCCAGCTGGGAGGGGCGGCCATAGCTCACTCTCTTCCTGCCCCCAGAGTGTCTGCCTGGACCCTGTGCCGGCACGAGCATCCCTGAGCTGACTGGGAGGCCTCTCTGGCCCTGGGCTGCTTGCTGCCCTGCAGGCTGCTGTTTGGCAGCTGGAGGTGGCAAGAGCTGCTGGCACCGCCAGGGAGCAGTCACTGGGGGAACAGGAGCTGGCCCAGGGCAGGCAGCCACGCGGAGAAGGTCTTCGAAAGCATCTCACAGCTCTGTGTGGAGACGGTAGGACTGTCAGTGCTGAGGGGGGCTGGGGCCACATGAGCACCTGCCTCTCCTTCCTTTGGCCTTGGAGCTGCTGAAGGAAGGGCCGGGACGCTGGACACAGCAGAGAAGGTGCCCAGCCTTGGTTCCTGGCTGCCTAGGGCTGGGTGTGTCCGCAGAGGGGTTTACTCCCTCGGGCCAGGGACCCATGAGGCCCCAGTAGGAGACAGCTTTGGGGCTCCCTGCAGCCCTGGGCTCCTTGAGCTGCTCTTACTCCTCTTGGGGTCCTAGGGTGGAGAGGCCCCTGCTTGGGACCAGTGCTCCCGTTCCTCACTGCTGACTCCAGGAGGTGGAAGATAACAGGGTGGCAAGGAGAGAAGACCACAGAGTGGCTAGGGGCAGGCCCAGGCATTGGGCCCTGGGCCCAGCACACGAGGGATCACAGTGTCGGTCTCGCACACACCTCTGGTCACCTGTGTACACCACACACAAACACACATACACACCATCCTCTTGTCTGGTCGGAGGCTCGTTCACTCTCTGCCTCACACACACGGTCAGAGTGAATCCGAGTCTCTTATTGCTTGCAGGGGGTGGGAAGTCAGGGACGGTTACTCGACGAAGAGTGAGAACAGCACCATCACCACGATGCCCATGCAGAGCAGAAGCACCTGCTGCAGGGAGCGCCTGTGGGGAGAGGGGCTGCGGCTCAGAGGGTGGCACCGGCTGAGGTGGGGGGCAGAGGCCCTGCAAATGGCATTCCCAGTGGGTAGCTCACCACGGGTCATCTTCCTCCAGTAGGTCGGGCAGCACGTTCACCAGGGCAATGTAGAGAAAGCCACCAGAGGTGAAGGGCAGCATCCAGGCCACAGTCTCCTCTGCAGGAGGAGAAGCCCTGACTGGCTGGGAGTCCAGGGGAGCCACGTGTACCACACCCCCTCCCATAGAGTGGACTCAGGGCAGAACTTGGCTAGATACCAGGGGCAGGGCAGCTGTGCCCTTCGGCTGGGGCCCTTCTGCTGACCGCCACCTGCCGCCACCACCCACCACGCCCGTACCTACTCCCTTGGGGGACTGCGTACAGATGGCGAAGCAGGCGCCCAGCAGGCCCCCCAATGCCGTCGAGAGCTGCAGCTTGGCTGCGCTCCATCGGTCAAAGCCGGCCCGGAGCAGGATGGCAAAGTCGCCCACCTGAGGGGAGGTCCGGATGATCACTCTGGGCCCCAGTGGGGCCAGATCCCCTGAGCACCTCAGGTATGGACATGCACACCGAGCCCCCTGCACCAGCCCCACAGCTGGGACCCCTCAGCCCACATCCCCTCAGCTGGGCCCTTAGTCTCCAGGGCATTGGAGTGCGGCTGGGATGGTGGCTGCAGCCTGGCAGGCTGAGCAACTCCAGGCCTCCATGGTCCAGCACCCCCAGCCTACCATTGCCGAGCAGTCCCACCCCAAACCCCTCCGCCAGCTCCACGCCCACAGGCTGACCTTGGGGACCCTCTGGCACTCACCTCATGGGGGATCTCATGCAGGAGGATGGCCATGGTGGTCAGCAACCCGATCTGTAGGGAGGCGGGCTGTGGGGTCTGTGCTGAGGGCAAGGGCACCCACCTGTCCGCTCACTCTACAAATGTTTGCTCTGCTCTGAGCGCCCTGGCTGGGTACCATTTGGCTACTAGAAATACATCAGCAAATGAAACTGACAAGGAACCTGCCCTCAAGAAGCCAACAGGCTGGATGGGAGAGCCAAGGGTTGAGTAAACACACAGAGAACCATGTGATTACACACCGTGACAGGTGCTATGGGGGAAAGGTGGACTGGGTGCCAGGGCACGAAGGGCCTAATTTAGATGAGAGGTCAGCAAAGGCCCCTTGGAGAAGTGCATTTTAGTTGAGCCCTGAAGGATGAAGAGCCAGCAGTTTGAAGAGTGGGAGAAAGAACATTCCAAGTAGAGCTAACAGTCAGGAAGAGGCCATGAGGGGAGAAGGAGCTTGGCCAGTTCAAGAGCAGGCAGACCTTGGGGCCAAAGCACAGAGGGCAGAGGGAGGGGGTGGAGGGACAAGAATCTAGAAGCAGGCAGGGGCCTGGCAGAGGCCTATGACTGCAACAAGGAGCAGCAAGAATAGACCAGTGGTTCAGGAGAGCAGCAGGGAGGACCGTGGCTTAGGTGAGGGCCTTGTGATGGAGGGAGCAAGAAGCAGATGGACTGGGGAGCTATTCTGGAGGCAGAGCCAGCTGGCTAACACACGCCCCCTCATTCCCACTGGAATGGCCTGGACCCCACTCGCCTCAACCCCACTCACCTTCTTGCTCACTAGGAAGCTGGCAGCCACAGCCAGCCCGTGAGTGAAGTTGTCTATGGTGTTGGCCAGCAGGTTGAGATAGCCACTGACCTGCATGAGGGGAGAGAAAGCTGGGCTGAGCCCGGCAGTCAGGGCTGAGCTGGGCCAGCCACTCGGGGTGGGGCGGCTGCAGGAGGAGGGGGCCCTGAGCGGGCCACTCACTTTGATGCTCCGGACCACGGCGCTCAGGCCGGGCTCTGCAGCCGGCTGGGCCAGATAGTGGCCTCCACTGAGCGCGGCAGCAGCTGCGGGGTCTTTGCTGGGGGCCTAGGGCCAGGAGAAGGAGGGAGAGGTGACATTAGATGCCCCCCACTCAGCCAGGGTAGACAGAAGGGGAGTGAGAGATGGGGAACACCCCTTTTATCTGACTAGACTTTGCTGCTTGATCAGCTGGGCGCCCCGAAACTCGACCCTCTGCCTCCAACCCTGGTGTCACTGTCAGTCTATGGGAACCAGCCAGGCAGGAGCTGATGCCATCACTCCCCAGATCCTTCCAAACAAGCTGGCCCAGCCTCCCAGAGCTCCCAGGAAAGGCAAGAGATCCTCTTTTCAGGGCTGGACTCCAGAACCTGGGCCTCCAGGCCCTGGCACCACCACACAGAGGCTGACCTGTGTAGGCCCTGGGGTTTGGGGCTCACCTGGCTAGTCCCCTCCTTCTCCTTGCTGTCCAAGAACATCTTCTCCAATGCCAGGAAGGTCAGGAAGCCGGCAATAACCCACAGTCCCAGTTGCTGTTGCTGCTGCAGGCTCTGCCCCTCACCACCTGCAGGGGGCAGCACTGACAGGCCAGGCCCAGCCAGGGCCACAGAAGGGGGACCATTTGTAATGGGACCTAGTCCAAGGCAGTGATGGGGCAGGGCGCTAGGACTGGCTCGTGGGGCAGCTGGGCCCCAGGGACTCCCACAGGGACCAGGCAGTGGGACCAGGGCAAGTTCCCTGCCAGATGCCCTGAGCCCCTCTCACAGTCAATCTGCAGAGCAGGCAAGGCCTAGGCCATCCCTGGGCATGGGTACCAGTTCCCACCCACTCACCCCTGCCACCCTCCCACCCGCAGCCTGTGGCCTCACTTACCAGGGCTGGCGCTGTACGTGTAGGCCCACGCTTCGGGCAGCAGGTGGAGAAACACATTGCCCAGGAGACCCCCCAAGGCAAAGCTGAGCAGCTGCTTCAGGCGCCGGGCTCCAGCTACAAGGCAGAGATGTGGGACCTGGGGGCTGAGCCACACCCAGCTTACTGGGCTCTTCATGTGGTCCCAACCATATTGCAAGTCTCCAGAAGGCTGGACATGGGCGGATGGCCTTCCTGGGCCCCCAGCCTCCAGGCCCAGCAAGGGCTGGTAGTGTGCAGGAATACACCACAAACTGCAGGCTGACTGTGCAGCCTCCACTGCTTCAGGGTTAAGAGACTGGGCTTGGGAGCCCAACAGTTCTCAGCTCCCCAACCCACCAGCTGGTAACCTTGGGCAGATTACTTCCGGAACTGTCTCCTCATCTGTATATGGGGGACAATTGTATCTATCTGATAGTGATCTTGTGATAATTTAATGACAATGCATATGGCAAATGCTTATTAAATAGGAATTTTTCTCTGTTACTCTCAGAAAAGTGGCGGAGATTTGAGGACTTTTGCAGACTTGCAACATCTGGAGTTGGAAGTGCCCTAAGGGGGCCATGTCGAAACCCTTGGTTCCACAGACCAACTGAGGCCCAGAGGGAAGAGGCAGCTTGGTGGTGGGGTGGGATCCCAGGGGAAGCTGCTGCTTCCAGGCTGTGTGACCTTGGGTTCCTCGAGGAACGTCTCTGTGCCTGTGCTTCCCCACTTGTAAAATGGAGCTAATAATCCAAGTCCTCCCTAGGTTGACCTCGCAGGGATGCTGTGAGAGGGGCTGAGCTAACGCACAGGCGTGACAGCAGGGCCCCGGGAGGGCTCTGTTCACAGCGGTGGCGCCAGCCCTCAGCCCACTGCCTGGCACAGATGCGTTCATAACCATCTGCTGAATGAACAGTTCCTGAGCCTGGCAGGCAGCACAGGCCCTGGGACCCTCATTTCAAAGATTCCTGGGGCTCTGGCCCAGACCTACTATGTCACACTCTCGGGTGGGGGCAACAGGCACCTGCATTTTTAGCAGCTCCCCATCTGATCTTGTTTATTTTTCATTACAGAATGTCACCTTTGGATAGATGGTACAGGCAGTCAGCCAAGGAAAAGCCTCCGCCACGCCTGCGCCCACATCCCAGACCCCCTCCCCAGAGGCAGGCCGGCTACCAGCCCCGCATGTGTTTCTGGGTGAGGCCGCCCCAGGGGCTCTGGGTTTGAGCACTCTCACACTAAGAGCAGAGACTGAAGGGAGAGGCAGCACTTCACTCTCGCTGCATCCCGGTACCCAGCATGGGCCCGCGAACACAGAGCATTTTCCCTGCACCAAGCAGTCTTCTAAGCACTTTATCAATATGAGTTCACTGGATCTTCACCATAACACCTATGGGGGTAGATATTGTTATTATTCCCACTTTTAAGGTTGGGAGCTTGGGGCAGAGTGAAGTTAAGGAATTTGCCCAATGCCACCCAGCTGGTAAGTGGCAGAGCCAAGATTTGAACCCAAGCAGACTGGCATCCATATTTCCAGCCACTATCTCTACTGCTCTTGGTGACTGATTGCTCTTATTCTTTTGGCATAAACAGATGCACAAATGAATGACCAAATGTGTATGGCTGGATCCCCAAACACACACTGCCTCACTGGACCAAGGTGAGGAATGGTGCTCGGTCCCCACCCTCTACCTCAGACACACTGTGACTCGGAACTCGAGACCTGGCTCTCCTGGGAAAAGCAGCAGCATGTTTACCACGCTGCTGGCTGCCCATGGGTGCCAGAGGAGGGTCACCAACCTTCTGAGCGTAGCGTGGTCCCCATCTCCAAGGGAATGATGAGCAACGGGAAGACCCCACTGAGTCCCACCATGAGTGAGCCCAGGAGGGAGCAGATCCAGGTGTCCAGCCTCTCTCCACTCAGCAGGGCCCCCCAGGACTCACTTTCCTTATTGTCCAGGCGACAGGCCGCTGCCGAACCCCGGCTCCAGAGGGCCTGCTGGGAACCCCCAGCCCCCTCTAGGAGCTCCAGGGCAAGAGCAGTGAGGAAGAGGAGCCTTTGTCCCGCCATGCCACAGCCAGGGCAGGGACATCCAGGCATACCACGTGCTGAAAAACACAAAGGCCACTTACGTGAGCAGCCACCCTTGACTGCACACCTGCTTAGGAAACGTGGCATCTTAACCCTCCCCCCACTCCCAATGGCCATGGCACCTGCTTTCCAGCCTGCCTCCCCCCGAGCCTCTGAAGATCTGAATGATGGGTGCACCGAGCCAAGGGGCTCTGCTCCACACTGCACTCCCACACATTTTTTTCCCTGGGAGCCAGCTCCAGACTGTGTGTCAGTGTGTCCGCCTGAGGCTAAACTTTTTTAATGACAGGGCGAGGCACTGGCTGGGTTCCCCTCAGCCACCGGTAGGCCCGGCCCAGCTGGGTGTCTGGCTGCCAGGAGAGGCTATGCCGCCAGGATGAGCCCCAGTAAGGACACCCCCAGGGACAGAGGCCGGCCCTGTCTAGCTTGATGGGGCGACATTAGGAGATGCAGGTGGGGAAACCAAGCAGCTGAGCTAGGTCAGGACCACCAGGGCTTCTTCCTAGGAAATGATCCCCAAATCTCTGGGCACAGAGACAGACAGCAGATGGGACTGAAGAGAGAGGATCCTTCATTTAGGAGCTGCGGCACAGATGCACGCAGCACAGAGCACAGGCTTAGGAGACCTGACTTTGACTTTGTGCTCTGCACTTACAGATGCTTGACTGGGCAAGACCTGGAAGCCCCTTTCTGGCCTCACTCTCCTCCTCTGTAGGATGGAGGTAAGTACTGCCTCCCTCAAACAGTCATGAAAATGAGATGAGCCTGCTTATCAGGTGAATGTGCCTGGCATGGAGGAGGCAAAGCGAGCCCTCCTCATGTTGCCGGAGCCCAGGGCGCTGGGCAGCAGAAGTGTTCCCAGCCGGTGGATCACAGGACCTGGATGTGAGTCAACCAAGAGGGAAGTTCAATCTGGAAATTCAGGCACGAGGTTTAAATGTGGTCTGTCCTGCCTCATACTGGCTGTGATCTTGGGCCTGTGATGTCCCTGCCTCAGTTTCCTCTTCTGCTGATGGAGGCAGGAGGGAGGGAGATCAGCTGGAAAAGATGCTCGGGTCTCAGATCTCCAAGTCTTAAAGGGACCCTGATGATGGAACTTGCTGGGATCTACTGGGGATCAAAGGCAGGACTGCGCGAGGCCGGACTTGGACGCGGAGGCGGGTCACGTAGAGGTGAGGGGACCAGAAGTTTGGGATAGGGGATGGGGTACCGAGACTATCAGAGAGAGAGGAAAGGGAGAAAGCAAGAGCGGGAGCAAGAGTGAGAGAGGCAGAGTGCGAGACAGATGCGGAGGAGGAGAGAGAGGGAGAGATGCAGAGCGACGCGTGGGGAGAAAGCGGGGAAGAGCCCAAGGAA